CCCGACAGATGCAGTACCCGTTCTTGTATCACTGACGATATTCCTGTGCTGTACCTCCCATCCCCGTGACTGTTCTGTAACCACCAATCTGTACTTAAAAAAAAAAAAAAATCTGCCCCTGAAGCCATTTCCCACTGATGTTTAGAAAGAGCGGAAGGGAGGGAGGAGGGTGAGAGAGAGACGTGGATGTGAGAGAGACACATGGATTGGTTGCCTCCTGTATGCGCTCTGACCCGGGCCCGGGATCGAGCCTGCAGCTGAGGTCCGTGCCCTGAACTGGGAATCAAACCCGAGACCCTTCAGGCCTCAGGCCAGGGCTCCAATTTGTACTTCTTAATTCTTTCACCTTTTTCACCCATTCCTCCATCCCCCCTCCCACTTGGCAACTGTTAAAATGTCCTCTGTATCTACGAGTCTCTTTCTGGCCTGCATGTTTGTTTGGGTTTTTAGATTCCACACGTACGTGAGATCGGCGGGCATCTGTCTTTGTCTGACTTAGTTCGCTGGGCACAATGGCCTCCCGGTCCACCCATGTGGTTGCAGATGGCGGGGTTTCATTCCCCCGCCATCTGCAACCACAGATGGCTGTTATGGCTGTTCTTCCTAGTCCACGGTCTACGTGCCCACTTCTCTATCCATCCATTCATCTGTTGATGGATACTTAGGCTGCTTCCCTATCTTGGCTATTGTCAATCACGCTGGGATGCATCCGTCTTTTCAATGTTTTAGGTTTCGTTGATAAAAGCCCAGAAAGTGGAATGGCTGTGTCCTTTGTCTCTTGTGATAACCTCTGTTTTAAAGTCTATTTTTAATCCTTTCGCTTTTACTGAAGGGTAAGGAAGGCCGTTCTGAGAACAGACCAGAACTGGATGTTTTTTGCACTGTCGGCACCAGTAAAAGGCACCTTTTATTGTTTCCACACAATTTCCGTAGAACATATGATCTAACATTCATTCTAGTGTTTGTGGGACTTCCTGAAAGACCCCAGAAAGAGGAACAGAGTTTCTTCTAAGTCGATCACATTTCCCTATTCCAGGTAGTTTAAACCGTCTGTCAGCAAAGTTTCCTCCCCTTCCTTTCGATTTCTGAAGAACTTTTTTATTTTTTATGAAAGAGAGAGAAAGGGGGAGAGAGAGAGAGAGAGAGTGAGAAGAAAAGAGAAGAGATTGATAGACATACCTCTTCATTCATTGGTTGATTCATGTATGTACCCTGACCTGGGATCGAACCCACAACCTTGGGGAATCAGGACAACACTCTAACCAGCTGAGCCAGGGCCTGAAGAACGTTTCTTTTTTTCTTTTTTTCTTTTTCTTTTTTTTAATATATATTTTATTGATTTTTTACAGAGAGGAAGGGAGAGGGATAGAGAGTTAGAAATATCGATGAGAGAGAATCATCGATCAGCTGCCTCCTACACACCCCCCATTGGGGATGTGCCTGCAACCAAGGTACATGCCCTTGACCGGAATCGAACCTGGGACCCTTGAATCCGCAGGCCGATGCTCTATCCGCAGAGCCAAACCATGGAGGGCTGAAGAACGTCTCCTGATGAGATTTGGTTTTCGTCACATTCTCTCGACTTAAAAAGGGGAGCAAAATTGGAGTCGAGTCTGCCTTTGCCTTTGGGCTTTTGTTTGATTGTTCTTTTATTTGCTCTCTCTGTTGTGCAGTGAGAACCCCTGCCAGCGGTGAGCTTTTGAATTGCTTAGACTTTTTTTCCCTGTGGAGGGTAAAATCGCATGAGCCGTTGAACATAGCGTCAGGCACACAGAGCATGCTTCAGGAACCTATTTTTATTGACGTGAAGCAATCGTGGAGCAGCCCGGGAGAGGATGGGAACTAAGAATAGACTTAAAAGCAGAAGTGTGGCCGAAATTGGTCTGGCTCAGTGGATAGAGCATCCGCCTGGGGACTGAAAGGTCCCGGGTTCGATTCTGGTCAAGAGCATGTACCTTGGTTGCGGGCATATCCCCAGTGGGGGGTGTGCAGGAGGCAGCTGATCGATGATTCTCTCTCATCATGTTTCTAGCTCTCTATCCCTCTCTCTAGCTCTCTATCCCTCTCTCTTTCTTTCAAATCAATAAAATGTATTTAAAAAAAGAAAAAAGCAGAAGTGTGGGTTTTCACAAATCCCTATCAGGCGGGGTGTATGGTTCTTCGATGCCGATAGGACTCCTGGTCTTCACTCCTCCCCAGGTGGCTGGGAGCGGGGATTCTGGGGGTGGCCGTGCTGCAGCTACTTAGGGGGGCTCTGAACCCCGAAGGAAATGACTTACATACCTCCCTCTCTTTATGTGTAAAGTATCTCTCTATATATAAAAGCCTAAGCAACCAGCCGACAGTTCAACAGTTTGACCGGTAGCTATGACACACAATGACCACCAGGGGGCGGATGCTCCACGCACAGGCATGGAAACGTGGAACAATCTGATGGATCTCGGAGGGCAGCGGGGAGAGGGGAGGGCAGGAAGAGGTTAACCAAAGATCTTACATGCACACCAGAGGCCTGTTGCACAACAGCCCCTCCTCCCCGTGCCCCTGTGGGGTCCCTCGGCCTGGCCTGCGGGGATCAGGCTGACACCGGCTCTCCAATATCCTCCCAGGGGTCCCGGATTGCGAGAGGGCACAGGCCAGGCCAAGGGCCTCAAGTGTTAACATAAAAAGCTGTAGTATTGAATCCTCACTGCCCCACACTGTGCTTCATGTTTTCCAAGCACCTTATTCATCCAGATATTTACTGACCAGCTACTGTGTGCGGCCACGGAGCTAAGCACCGGGACTCTAACAGGGAGCTAAGGCCCCAGGGGGATCAGGCTGAAACCGGCTCTGGCTCTTACATTTGTTGAAATCTGCCCAACGACCTTTGAACCCAATATCATACCATCGGCACCCCCGCGGGGGGAGGTGCGGGTGGCGGGGGGGGGTGAAAGCAGAAAGTGGTTAAGTAAAATCTGCCCCCACATCACACCTCTCACGAGTGGTTGAGTTGGGATTCACGCTTTGATTCATTCCGCCTCCTCGCAGGGCTGTCTGGAGGCCGGAGAACAAAACTTGCCGGTGAGGAAGGTCCCTCAGGGCGGCGAGGAGCCTGGAGTGTGAGAACCGGAGGTGCAGAGAAGGACGCTCGCCGCCCTGCGTGTGGCCTGAGAAGGCGCTGAGGTTGGCTGGGGGTCGGTCCCGGGCGGAGCAGCCCGCCGTGTGGTAGAATCGCCTGGATGTGGGGCCACGTGTGTATGGGGGACACTGAACCCCGCCCCGTTCTGTTTGTGCAGAGCCCGCCGTGAGGGGAGAGCCCTGCTGCTTACAGCCACCGGCTGCAAACGGCACTGGCAGGCTGAGGGCCGTTAGCCGCTCTGCCTCCCCCTGACCCCCCCCTTGCTGTCCCATTGGAGGGCACTAGCGACCCTCCGGGAAAAGGGACACGGCTGGGCGCCTGGACCAGAATGTGGAATCAGCAAATACCGGAGAGCGAACGAGTCGCTTCAGCTCGTGCTCACACAGCACTTGGCACCCCCAAAGCCAATGGGCTTTTCTTCTTTTTTTAAAATATATTTTTTATTGTTTTTTTTACAGAGAGGAAGGGAGAGGGAGAGAGCGTTAGAAACACCGATGAGAGAGAAACATCCATCCGCTGCCTCCTGCACACCCAACGGGCTTTCCTTCAGGCACTGAGCTCCCCCCAGCCCGCCCCCCGAAAAACCAGGCGGGGACACGTACCCCACAGCATGTCCTCGGAAAGGCAAAGGCTGCAGAAAAGATGGGGGCTCCCAGGAGGCCCGAGCGGGTGGCTGACAGTTCCTCTCGGGCTTCTGAGGAATGAACGAGGGTCCCTCCTCCCCCTCTCCCCTCCCCTCCCCTCTCTTCTCTCCCGTGAAGACGAACTGCGCCCAAACAGACATTCCAGGCTGCAGAGCCCGCTCAGCCCCACGAGAGGCACTGCCTTAGCCCAGCTTCCCTCTCCCAGTCCAGTGAGGGTTTCAGGGCAAAGGAAAGGAAATACTGACGAGTCGCCAAGTTCACTACCTCCCGGGAGAGAGAGAGAGAACGGGACAGGTTCAAACCTGTGCCTGTCTCCTTGGCCGATTAAAATGACACGGGAGCCAAGCTCTTCCTAACCACCCCCCAACCACACACACCCCCCCTACACCTAGCACACACACACAGATACACACACACGCACACACACACCCCTCCACCTAGCACACACACACACAGATACACACACACAGATACACACACACCCCCTTCACCTAGCACACACACACAGATACACACACACGCACACACACCCCTCCACCTAGCACACACACAGATACACACACACAGATACACACACACCCCCTTCACCTAGCACACACACACAGATATACACACATGCACACACACACACTCTATACCTAGCACACACACACACACACACACAGATACACACACACGCACACACACACACCCTTCACCTAGCACACACACACAGATACACACACACGCACACACACACCCCTCCACCTAACATACACACACACACACACACAGAGATACACACACACGCACACACACACCCCTCCACCTAACACACACACACACACAGATACACACACACGCACACACACACCCCTCCACCTAGCACACACACACATATACACACGCACACACATACACACACACCCTCCACCTAGCACACACACACACACACACGCACACACACACACACCCTCCACCACATACACACGCACACACACACACACACGCACACGCACACACACACCCTCCACCTGGCACACACACAACGACCTGACACGAACACAACCCACCCCCTGCTCAGCGGGCCGGGACCCTCCGAACACCCCCCCCCCCCAGCCTGTGCACTGCGTCTCCAGCGGAGCGAGGAGCTCACGGCCCTTCCGAAGTCCCCGGTGCCCTTGGCCGGAATTCACCCTTTTTTTTGTTCGCCCGTCCGTCCGTCCTCCCATCCGTCGTCCGTCCGCCCGGGGGCCGGCTCAGGGCCCGCAGGGCCGGCTCTGCCCGTTGCTGGCGGCGGCGGTGCCGTCCTGGCGGCAGAGGCGCGCGATGGGCACCTCCTCGCGCCTCCGCGCCCGCGGGCCGGGCGCCTTGAGCCGGGCCCAGAGGCGGGGGAAGGCCGGGCTGGAGAAGCAGTAGACCAGCGGGTCCAGCACGCTGTTCATGTAGGTGAGGCTGAGCGCCACGTGCAGGGCGGCGTGCACGGCGGGGTGGCAGGCGCTGGCGGGCACCGTGCACAGGAAGTACAGCCGGGCCGCCACGCTGGGCAGGTAGCAGGTGACGAACACGGCGGCCACCACGGCGATGAAGCGCGTGGCCCTGCGCAGGCGGGCCTGCCGGGCCAGCCGCCGCCGCCGCCGCAGGCTCCACACCACGCGGCCCGAGCAGAAGAGGATGGCGCCCAGCGGCAGGAAGAACTCCAGCTGGAACATGATGTCGTGCCAGCCGTTGGCCGACTCCATGATGAAGCTCTCGCAGGAGGGCGCGGGCGGCCCGCCGGGCGCCGTGCACCGGTGGTCCTCGGTGAGCAGGTGCAGCGTGCCCAGCAGCACCGCGCCCCACAGCCCCAGGGCCAGGCCGGCCGCCGCGCGCTTGGACACGGCGTTGGCCGCGTGGTGCGGGTGCACCACCTTGAAGTAGCGGTCCACGGCCACCACGGTGAGGAAGACGATGCTGCCCGCCCGGTTCAGGGCCAGCATGAACAGCACCAGCCGGCACGGCGCGTCCCCGAAGGCCCAGTGCCGGTCCCGCCGGTAGTAGTCGGTGCGGAAGGGCAGGCACACCATGAGCAGGAAGTCGGCCACCGCCAGGTTGAACAGGTAGATGGTGCTGGGCTTCCAGGTCTTCAGGGAGAAGCAGAAGCCGCACAGGGCCAGCCCGTTGCCCAGCGCGCCCAGCACGAAAAACAGGATCAGCAGGGGGGGCATCACCTGCGCCATGGGGTCCCCCTGCAGGAGGCAGCACGACCCGTTGTCCATGGCGACCTGCCGGCCAGCGGGCGGACGGACGGACGGACGGACGGGGCAGACGAGTGCTCCGGAGGAGGCCCCCGGGGGTTCCCGCGGAGACGCAGAGGCTGATCTGAAAGCCGCAGCTCCTCCGCGGCTGTTTTTCTGACTTCCTGGCCCCCGGATGCGGGTGCCCACAGCCCCGCACAGGTGGTGGGCGCAGCCACCGATGACGCCCGGACGGACGGAGAACAGCACGCAGCTCCAGCGGGGGAGACGAGAGCCTCGGTGGTGGTGGTGGTGGTGGGGCTGGCCCCGGAGCCGGGGTCACGAGCTGCCTGTGTCCACGAGAACCCCAAGAGCGAGGCTTGGGGGCCTGGCCATTCGTGGGGAGCGGCCGGCAGGTCCGGCGCGGCTCATGCTGGCGAGCAGCGGGGAGACGGGGAGCCGGTCTGCTGCAGAGCGCAAAGCTCCAGCTCGCCGACTGCCCGGGAGGCACCGAAAGAGCTTGTTTGTCCTCCCTCTCTCCCTCCCTCCGGAGCAGGAATACAAACATTTCCCGGAGGGAGCTCTCCCGGCCTGGCCTGGCCGCAGGGGCCTCCGCTGCTTCCCTCCCTAACCTTTGCCTGACTGCCCCCGGCCGCTCCCCCGTCCCAGGGGGCCCTCCTCCGGCGCTGCCCGCCCGCCGCCCCCAAGAGCAGAGAGAGGCCCCGAGCCATTTCCTGCGCCCACACCCAAAACACGCAGCCAGCCCTCACAACCCAGAAGGGTCTGCGGAGGGAAGGAGCTGTCAAAGCCGCCCTTGTGGGCTGCGCTCCACCGCCTTGCTTTGAAGCGCGAGGGCTTTCCTCCCCTCCGTTCGCCACCTCCTACCCTTGGCCTCCCTCCCTGGACTCCAGTGACCCGTTACACAAGCAGCGAGGCCGGCCGCGACCTGAGCCCGAGCTGCTGCTCATAGGTCTGTCTCCATGGCGCAGCCTGCGCGGCCGCCCAGGGGGCCCCTCTGCTGTTTGCAAAAGAGGATTTGGCTCCGAGCTTCCTGCTGGCTGCTCCACAGAACCAAACTCCGGGATATACCTATTTCTTCCTTTGTTTGTTTTTATATATATTTAAATATACTTTATTGATTTTTCACAGAGAGGAAAGGAAAGAGATAGAGAGCTAGAAACATCGATGAGAGAGAAATACATCGACCAGCTGCCTCCTGCATACCCCACACCGAGGATGTGCCCGCAGCCAATGCACATGCCCTTGACCGGAATCGAACCTGGGACCTTTCGGTCTGCAGGCCGATGCTCTATCCACTGAGCCAAACCGGTTTTGGCCATTTTTAAATATATGTGATTGCCTTTTTACAGAGAGGAAGGGAGAGGGATAGAGAGTTAGAAACATCAATGAGAGAGAAACATCGACCAGTTGCCTCCTGCACACCTCCCACTGGGGATGTGCCTGCAACCAAGGTACATGGCCTTGGCCGGAATTGAACCTGGGACCCTTCAGTCGGCAGGCCGACGCTCTATCCACTGAGCCAAACCGGTTTCCGCTACATGTTTTTTTTTATTTTTATTTTAATTACATGCTCAGCCCATTGGTGGGGGCGAATGAGGCCTGGGGCAGTTGGTCAAGAGAGGCCTATCTCCAAAACAATCGCGGATAAAATTAGTCTTTGCTGAAATTTCCGTCCCTTTGGTTTCTTTAGATAATCTCTCTGCCCTGAGCCTTGGGCTGCCAGCTAGGGAAGGGGAAGGAGAAGGAGCCGGTGAGGGAATGCCTGAGGGGTGCCAGAGGCAGATAGAATCCTCCCCCCTGAACCCGGACACCCCAGCAGCACAGCAGCCTTTTCCAGGCCCCCCCCCCCCCCCCCCCCGCCTCGCCTCCCCTCGCCTGGACCCCTGCCACCGCCCAGCTGTTGAAAGGGTTGCATTTCCCAACTGGTTTCCTCTCCTCTGGTCCGGCCCCTGTAATTCTTCTCCCACGCAGCAATGGGATTTTTCTGAAGTGCAGATGTTATCATATCCCTTCGCCCCTCCCACACACACACCACCACCACCACCTAAAAGCCAGTGTGCGTTCCTTCCATCTGCTTAGGCGTCAGCTACACGACCTTGTGAGCCGTAGCTGGTCCCCAAACCAGTTTGATGTGGCCCATGTGCTCTGAAAACCGGGGCTGTCCCATTGGAACCTGTATTTCCAGCCTCTCGGGAGACGGTGAGATCTGGCTACCGTGGGCCACCAAGCCCACAGAGTAGCAAGGAGCTGCAGCGGAGAGAGAGGCCCCCTTTAACCAGGCTCTTTCGCCCTGACCAGTTTGGCTCAGTGGATAGGGCGTCGGTCTGCGGACTGAAAGGTCCCAGATTCGATTCCCGTCAAAAGCATGTGCCTTGGTTGTGGGCACATCCCCAGTAGGGGGTGTGCAGGAGGCGGCTGGTTGATGTTTCTAACTCTCTATCCTTCTCCCTTCCTCTCTGTAAAAAAATCAATAAACTATATTTTAAATATAAAATAAACAGGCCCTGCCCTAGCCAATTTGGCTCAGTGGTCAGAGAATCAGCCTGTGAACTGAAAAGGTCCAGGGTTCGATTCCGGCAAGGGCACATGCCTGCGTTGCAAGCTTGGTTCCCCTATAGGGGGCCTGCAGGAGGCAGCCGATCAATGATTCTCTGTCATTATTGATGTTTCTGTCTCTCTCTCCCTCTCCCTTCCTCTCTGAAATCAATTTTTAAAAATACATTAAAAAATAAATAAAAATAAACAGGCCCTTTTGCCACAATCCCCACCACTCCCTAGGACCTGGTCAACCTCATTCACTCACAGGCCGGGCCTCTGTGGGATTTTGTCCTCGATAAAAGGTCACCCCAGGCCCTTCCCCGATGGTACATTTCCAGCATCATCCTCCTGCCCCTTCCCGCCTGCTTTGGTAGTCTTGTCACATCTACCCTGTTTCCCCAAAAACAAGACAGTGTCTTATATTAATTTTTGCTCCCAAAGAGGCGCTAGGTCTTATTTTCAGGGGATGTCTTATTTTTCCATGAAGAAGAACACGGTACACATTTATTGTTAAATGAAAATAACGGAAATGTATTACCTGTCTACGGTACGGTGGTACGGTAGTTGTCAACACAAACCAGACAAACTGTGAATCCTACAGGATCAAGAATTGACTCATTTATTCCATGACAATCATGGCATCACCTTCTGGAACATCATCCTAACAATCCAATTCCTGAATTTCCTAGTGAATTTCTTGTGTCTCCATTTCTTTCAGAAACAGTGGACCAAATCTCTCATGTTTAGCTTAGGGGGGGGGGGGGCCTTATTTTGGGGGGGATGCCTTAGATTTCACTCAGGAGGAAACCTGTAAGTGGGTCTTATTTTCGGAGGATGTCTTATTTTGGGGGAAACACGGTAGTAAATCAGTGTGTCCGTCAAACATGGACATGTAGCTCCCCCCCGCTAACCCAGCGATCTTGGCGATAAAGTCCATCCATGATCTCGGCAGAAAGGGCATAGGCTGAGGATCCGGGTGCCTACGCCCTGCTTTCCAAGGGAGCTCCCAGCAGCCACTGTCACTCCGGGGCTTGGGGATCCTGGGAGAAGGTGGTGACTGAGGGGGCGGCTGTCACCACCCCCCGGAGGAGGCCAGGTGGGTAGCTCGGAATGCCTCCAGAGGGTCAGCAGACGGAAACTCCTCTTGATCCTCTGATAGCAAAAGCTGCCGAGCTTCTCGGAAACACCAGCGCTTCCCCTTTCCTGCGTAAGGCCCCTCTTTCTTTCCCTCCTCCTTTCCTGCCGCCTCAGCTCCCTTCCCTTTCTCTTTGCGTAGAATTAGCTGGAAGGCAGAGGATGAAGGAAGGAAAGGCTGGTTTCTGTTTCTCTGAAAGTCTAGACAAATCTTTTTTTGTTTTTTTTTTTGTTTTTTTTTGTTGGGAGCCTGAAACTGCTCTTCAAAAAAAAATAGTTTTAAAAAATGTATACCATGCCTTAGTCCGTGGTGCTCAGCCTTCCTAGTGCTGCGGCCCTTTCATACAGCTCCTCCTGCTGTGGTGACCCCCAAGAATAACATTACTTTTGTGGCTACTTTATAACTGCAATGTTGCTACTGTTATGAATCGTAATGAAAATATCTGGGTTTTCTGCCGAAGAAGCCGGTTTGGCTCAGTGGTAGAGCATCGGTCTGCGGACTGAAAGGTCCCGGGTTCGATTCCGGGCAAGGGCATGTATGTTGGTTGCGGGCACATTTCCGGTTGGGGGTGTGCAAGAGGCAGCTGGTCGATGTTTCTCTCTCATCGACGTTTCTAGCTCTCTATCCCTCTCCCTTCCTCTCTGTAAAAAATCAATAAAATATATTTAAAAAAAAATTTTTTTTTTTAAATTTAAAAGCCACTCGTGGTTTGTGGCCAGCGTAAAGAAAGCCTTCTGGAACCTCCCTCTCTGGCCTGGGTTAGACTCTCCTCTCTGCACATTCCTGCCGCCCAGGGCTGGCACGGCTTACTTCCCCGTCCTCCTCCAGCCCCCCCCTTCCCTTCCCCCCCCCCCCCCGGGAGACCAGCGTGGGGCCTGAGTTAGCTTTCTGTGCCCAGAGCACAGCCCCGCGTGCATGGGCGAAGGCGTGAGCAGGTGGCCCCAGGCCTCAGCAGTGACCCCTGGCCCGGAGGAGACACCGCGAACAGGATGGGCGTAGCCAGAGAGCGTGAGCCACGCCTGCCAGGCTGCTCTGGCCGCGCCACCTGCTCCGGCGATGCCCGGCCAGATAGCATCACTTTCCATGAGCCGGGCGGGGGCAGGAAGCGGGCATTCCTGCGGGGCTGGCAGGTGCAGGAGGAGGAGGAGCGGCTGTGTGTGGCAGCGCGCTGGAAAGACACACCCTCCTGTGGTTTCTCCTTTCTCATCACTCGCTGCCCCCGCACAGCTCTCCGATGCCAGGTGGAGGGTGTTCCCCCCACTCCAAGCCATTCCCTGCGACACCAGGTGGGTGTCCCCCCTTCGGTCTCGGCGCGAACGGGAGTCAGCCCAGGCCCCGCAGCGGAAGG